TAAGCACAAAATAGTAGCTCATGTGAGAGGGTAAAGTAATCAATGGTCTATATAAGTATATAGTCAATGAATCAAACGTATTAAAATTATGATGATCATAGTCAAAACTATATGGTGGGTTCATATTAAATATAATTTTAAAAAATACATTAAAGTCAAAATCTTTTTAACTACTATATAGATTGTCTAAAAATTTTTGCATATACAAACTATACTGTCTAGGAATAGTGATGTGCACACTTAACTATGGTCTAATAATCTTAAGAATGACTTATTCTTCAATATCATCATTAATTGATGTATATGTACATTACATTGAAAACACAATGAAAATTTAGAAAACTACAAAATAAACACCCTCAAAAGTTTTAAAAAGTGTAAAAAAACCTTAAAATTTAGAATTTACAAATACACCGAACTATTAAATATTACATTGAAATTAAGAAATTACAAAAAAAATCATCGAAAATTTTCAAACTTTAGAGGGGTAAATTGCAACGTACTAAACTTTAAGAGTGTTTTTTGAAAATTTTAAATTTAATAGATTTTTAATTAGTTACGTTCTTTTCAAAAAAGTTAAGGGTAATATTTACCATGAAAAGTTTTTTCTAAACCTATACTTGTAAAAGGTGTATGTTGTTTTTTGCAAAATTTTAATTTTTTAGGGGTTGTTACTAATTTTGCATAATCATTTTATTGTCTATAGGTTAGAAATTCTTAGGTGTTTTTTGTAAATTATGAATTTTAAGGATTTTTTGTAATTTTTTAAACTTATAGACCTTTTTCTACAAATTGTAAATTATTTATAGACTATTTATAATTTCTATGCTTTCAATTTACTAATGAATTTGAAAATTTTAGAGTGTTTTTTATAAATTTTGAATTTTAAACATTTGTTTGTAATTTTTGAAACTTTAAGAGTGTTTTCTATAAATTTTAAATTATGTAGGGGATATTTATAATTTCTATATTTTTAATGTAATGTTAGGTTAGAATTTATCAGGATTTTTGTAAAACTTACAATTTTGAAGGTTTTATTTTATATTTTGTAAAAAGTTCTGAGTGTGTATTGCAAATTCCATAAATTTTTTAGGGTTGTTTGTGTTATTTGTAGGTTTTTCATATGTTTATAGGTTTGAAAATTTTAAGGTTCTTTTTATATATTTTAAATTTTTAGGGGTGTTTTTGTAATTTTTAAAACTTACAAGATATTTTTTTTCAAAGTCAAAAAACTTTCAGTTTCTAGTTAGCATATATTTTTCAGATATCTTATTTAATTAAGATAAGTAAAATTTGTAATTTTTTCAAGATGCTTTAATAAAATTTTAAATTTGTAGGGGCGTTTTTGCAATTTAAAAACTTGAAGAATATTTTTTACAAAGTCAAAAAACTTTTAGGTGCTAGCTAGCATATGTTTTTTAGATTTCTCTACAAACTAAAATAAGTAAAGGATTTGAATTATATGAAACGTATCTATTTTATCCAATAACATGTTAAGTCTTATTATGAATAGAATAAATCATTTGGTTACCAATTTAAAGAAGATAGGATAATTAGAATAGATTAGTATAACAATGTAATATTAAAAAAATAAGGATAACATTGACCATAGAAAGAATTTCTCGAACTCGTACTTTTAAAAGGAGTATGATTTGATTTTGCTTTGATATTAGTCTTGATTTGACTTTTAATTTGGAAAAATTATGAACTTTACTGACTATGTTTTTGAGTAGAATTATGAATGAATACCTTAAATTGTTATTTGGTAGTGGACATTATTTATCTTGACATATGATTTTTATGTAAAAATTCAAAAAGATGTTATTTCATGCTTGAATATCTATCTTGAAAAATTATGTGTGGTAACGCCTCACTTCACATGGGCGCATGCACCACATTGTGACTTGCGCATGTACGCATAAACGGACTTTTCATCTCACATTACGCATCGCGCATTGATAACACTGATAAAAAAAGAATCTAAGAATTTTTGTCTGTTTGTGAAGAAAATAATAAAGTTGATCAGTGAATGCATGGATCCCACTAATGATTAATTTTATTTTTACAATAGTATTTTAATTTCTTTTACTGATTATGCAATCTCAAATAAATAAGTAAAAAAGAATAAAATATTAAAAATAAAGTTTTAATTTTTAAAAATATTTTTTACATATTGTGGACCCCACTTAGTACAAAATCCTCCCAATTCCTTCTCTTTTACTCTGATTTCTGACAGCCAAGAAAACTACATTTTAGCTGTCAACTCGTTCAGAAATCTCTGGTTAAAATCGGAGCACCAAGCAGAAATTTTTGCGAATAGTTTTTGATCCCTTACAAAATTATTGTGGGGCCTGTCATTTTGTACCAGATCTGTGAGGATCTCTAAAATATGCTTCTAAACAGACATCCCTTATCCAACATCTCCTGGTCTTTGTACCCTCTTTGACAAGTAAATAAGTAATCTGTTGTGTATCGTGGTTTGTGCAACTAGACAAGTTTAAGTTTGGCACAATTTTGGTGCCCCTCATTCTCTGTTTACCACTGCCCTAGCATTTATTTCATTCAGGGATATACTTAAAAGAACTAATGGACTAAGAATGGAGAGAAACCAAATTCGAAAACGTAGAATAGTATGGGTAGTAGATCGAACTTTATTGTGTTAATGTTGAGAACAAATAGAACAAACAGTAAAAAAGGTAAAACGCATTCTACGATTTCAGGGTTTTTAAAAAATTACTCTGATTAACTGTGTAAATGTTTCCTTCCATTTTGCAGATTGAAGTGTGGGGAGTTCTTGCTAATACTTGCTGGCCACGTAAATGGAAGAAGGAATCTAGCTCCATTGGCAACTATACATGATGACATAAGGCAACTTTTAGGTGAGGAATATGCATCTCTGGTATGGGCAGCAAGCCAATTTGGCACAACTTTGGACCTAGAGCATAGGCAAACGACAATCCAAATCCAAGCTCGGAGAGTTCTGGATTCCATAGAGATGTACTGATGCAAGTATCATTAGGCATCAGATGCTTCGACGTTTTGCTGTTGATTCAGTCCAAAATTTGAGCAACAAAAATGGGATTTTCTTCTGGCTAATTTCTTTTGCCCGTATGATTGAGTCAAGCTCATTATACTTCTGCAGCAGGCTCTCCTGATCTTCTTGGCATTCAGCTCTTCACGTTTACAACTTCTCAATTAATATGTATTCATGCACGGGGGCTAGTTGTGTTGAAAGACGAGGAACATTTTTTATGCAATTTTCAACTGGGATTATGGAGTCTGGACCATGCCCTTTATGGAGTTAGGGGGTGTTTGGTTCAACAATTTTATAGAAAAGTTTTCTCAAAAGGACTGAAAATGGCATTTCTATAATTAAATTTTTTTTGTAGATTTTCGTAAACTGTGTTTGGTTCAAAATAAGTTTACAGAAATATTTTCTGTAAAGTACAGAAAAGTACCAAAATTTACAAAAATTAATATTCTCAAAATTGGCAGAACTCACCCACAAATCTGACACTCTATTGACACTTTTTTATAAAGCTAACACTTTTCTATAAATTTGGAGGGTGTTTGGTTCAATTTCTACAAATTATAGGAAATATTGATACTTTCTATAAAGTTATGGGCCATTTTTTTGTTTTGAACCAAACAAGCAAAATATAAAAAATAAGAAAATTGGTACTTTTTGACTTCTCAAAACTTTTAAGTAATACAAGGAAATCATATTTTGGGTGGAAAATATTTCCTATAATTTGTAGAAATTAAACCAAACACCCCCTTAATCTAACCATGTAATTTGACATTGCATAGTGCTTCCTGATGGTAGTTTGTACTTGTATTGATTCTGTGGAGCTTGCGCGGTTGAATTGTATTCGTGTTCATATATATTTAAACATCCATTCCACTAAAATGACTCTGTTGAGCTTGCGCGGTTGAGTTGTATTCGTGTTCATATATACTTAAACATCCGTTCCACTGAAAAGCTATATTCAAGTTCATCGAAAAGACTAATCCAAGTTCATTAGAGCCGGAATAGTGCAGTTATTATTAAAGTTTGTTACAGTTGGACATTGCTTGTATGTACCACAGAAACTTTTACTTGAATGTGTTTATGAAATAAAGAGGTTTGAAGAATTTTGAACCTCTCTCTGATAAAAAGATAACAAGAACCAAGTTTAAGCCCTTTCTTTCTCAATCAAAGCTAAAATGTATGCTAGAGGGACATGTGATTGCTTGGATCCTTAAAAAGAACACACTCAAGGCAAGACAAGAACTGTGTTGATGCCCATCTAAGACAAGTTACAGGTTAAAAAAAAGTAAAATTACCCTTTATGATGCAAATCAAATGGACATGCTTTTCCGTGACTTTCACATTGTTATCTAGAATCTAGCGCAGAAATCCCCCCATCTTAGATTGACTGGTGCAAGCTTTGAATTTTCTTAGATTGACTAGTGCACAAATTGAATTTTTGACCTCCCAAGTGGTAGTTAGTTCAAGCTTTTCTTTGATTCTTAAGAGGAGATGGTATTTGAAAGGACTTATTTTTTGAAGCATATAAGCTAGACTATCTTTAAATGCCTTTTGAAAGGACTTATTTTTTGAAGCATATAAGCTAGACTATCTTTAAATGCCTTTTGAAAGGACTTATTTTTTGAAGCATATAAGCTAGACTTTCTTTAAATGCCTTTTGGCTTTCATGAAAATAATTCTATAAAACTTACACTGGCTGAAAAGTCAACCTAGCTATTTAGATGAGAGTTTTAAAAAAATTGGGCAGCCACCACTTTTTTAAATGTGGCTTAAAAGCATAACTTATTTAAGATGTTACCAAACATGTTGATATCTATAAGCTTAAAAGTTACTTAAACGGAAAAAAAGCTCCCCAAACATCCTCTATGTAACAAGTGTGCTATTATGAAGTACAGAGCAACCAACACCAGAACTTGTAATGCCTCAACCCTTCTAACATCTATTTCTATAATACTTAGGACCAAAGTCATCATGCAACCTTTTTGCAAAAATTAATTATGATATTTATTGTTAGAGCTGTTAAAACATACAAATGTCCTTAACTCCCAAGTTTGAATGCATCAACAAAGAGTCCCAAACAGACACCAGCTTTCCAATAATTGACCATAACCACCAACGACTGCAATCTCCCAGCAGGCCTACTGAAGGGCTTCCTATACATAAGCACACCAATCCCCTCAATTGCAGCCACAACAACTCCGGCAACCAACACATCCCAGTCTCCAGTCTGCCCTAAGATCGTAGCGAGGGCGTTTGCAGTATAGAAACCCAAGAGAAGGAGAAATATTTTCATCGGAAAGTTTTTTCTCGTAGAGTTTAATTTCTCCAGTAGTTGTCTTGCGAAAGCTCGGACTATTATTCCTAATCTTGTCCTTCCGAGGCCTGCATTGTCTTCGTTGAGATTTTGTTGTTCCCCGTTGGTGTTTGATGATCCACCTGTGTTTAAAGCGAACTGTGTTCTGCATCTGTGTCTTCCAATCTGAGGACTGAATGAAAAACTTAATTTCAATTGGAGTGAATAAGACACAAATCTTAAGAAATTGTGGTCAGACATAATCAGTCACTAAAGTGGATTTCTTAGATGATAAAGTGACTACTGGGATCTGTTACAGAGCTACATGGTGGCACAAAATAATACAAAAAGCATTCTTATATTTACACAGGGAATGCATTTTTATCGTTCAAAATGAAGAGGTCTATAGGCGAAAGATGAGTCTGATAGTTGAATTTTGCCTCTTATTGTGTTGTGTGCTTGTATCTGTTTTATGAACATAATTGTCTACTGTTGAAGGGCACTATTAGCTCTAACCACTACTCTGAATAAACCCTTCCAGTTCAAAACCACTTGATGCAATTGCCTGAAGAGATTATCGAAGATTTGCAACAATGTTCTCTGTCAAAACTGACAGATTTTGACATTATAGATATAATCATGACAAAAAGAGGATAGTTAATTTCCATTAAACTGATGAGAAGTGCTCTTCAACTCTTGCAAGATTCTGACGAAATACTCACTATCTATTTTCTAAATATATGAACTTCAAAATTCTTGCAGACTTTTTTCTTATGTCAAAGTAAGATGTATAAAATTCTTCGTTCAAATAGCCGTTATGCACTCTTCTGTCAATATCTGCAAGAACACTCATTAACATTTATTCCTTACATTGGTCTCAGGGACATAAGAGGTAAGGCTATGCCTAACAAAACGAAAATAACAATTGTTGCATTGCTGCTGTGTGACCTGCTCAAACAATGCCCCTGTCATGTCTGGTATAAAATAATCATCTTTCCATCAATTTAATCTAAATTGAACAGAAATTTTTAACTAAGATGAAAGTTAGTAATCTTATACACTCTTAATCTTATTCCACTACAAAAGCTTCATTCTTAACACATTGGCTTATAATCGCTATCAAGATAACATGTTTCACCTAACAGACCAAGATCCCTAATTGAGGGGGGAAATCAATAATCCCTTCAGTTGTGTTTGGTTTGACAGAAAGGAAGAGAAAGGAAAGTAAAATATGAGAGAAAGTGGGTTTCTACTGTTGGCTTTGAAAGAAAATAAAAAGGAAAAAAAGGAAATAAATTTTACTGTAGAAAAATCGGTATATCTTTTTGTTTTCCCCCTTTCCCTCCACTACCCTAGTGAAAACGAGGGAAAGCGAGGGAAACGCCTCGCTCGTCGCCTCCCGACTTGACCCCAATCTCTCGCCTCTCCCCAAAACTCGAGTCCATCTTCTTTCTCTTTCTATCTCTCGCCTCCTCGTTCTCTCCTCTCTCTCTCACTCTCTCGATCCATGGTGATTGATTACACCCTAGTTTAACTTTGTCTATACCCTACTTCGACGCCGAACAAACCCTCGACGCCGATCAAATCCCAGCCCGACGCCGATCAAACCGTTGCTCAACTTCTCAGTTTTCGATAGCAAAGCGACACTGTAGCTCTCTGATCTAATTGGATTTGCTCAGATTTGCTGAAAATTAGAGTTTTCTCATCTCTCTCTCCTGTGAAAATGAATCTAGCAAGGAAAAAACTCATCGATTCATCAGTTGAGGTAATTTTTTTAAAATTTTTATGGTATTAGATATTATAGTTGCAACTAGTACAATTGAGACGTCAGCCCTTATTTGACGGTTTGACATATGTTATAATCAGAGCTAAGGGGGACCTATTAATTTTAACCTCGCTTTGTTTTGGATATTTGCTTGGTTGTTGTTGATTATTGAGTATTGGACCACGCCCCTGTTTTACTTGAACTTTTGAGGAATTTTTAGTTTCCCATGATTTGATCTTACTTTGGTTGTAAAATAAAATTGTCGTGAATGATATTGGCTTGCATTTTTTGTATATAGTGTAAATTAACATTGTAGTTAGAAACTGAATGTAGTGTGTTATCTTTAGAGATGCAGGGCTATGAATTTCATATGCATAACTTTATGAATTGTTATTAACTAACACAGTCTTTTCTTGTTTGAATGTTAATCCTCATCTAGTATATTTCCTGCATTTTCTCCTCACATATTGTCAACTTGTTAGTTGATTTCTAGTTGTATCTAAATAGCACTATACTGCTGATATTTAAGTGCTCTATCTTCGGTATATGCATTGCTCGAGTATATGTTTGTTTTGAGTCTATTCCGATAAAACCCTTAATTATGTGTTCATAAGATGCTTGGTTTTATCTTTGATCTTTTGCTTCTAAACACATAAAACTTTTCTTTATCTTAATTATGTGTTTGTGTGTCCTAGTGACCTTGACTTTTATACCATTGCTAATTTGATGGACTGCCTTCAAAAAAAATTTTGTGCGGATGCTGAAACTATATTGTGTCAGCTTGAAAGAGTAATATTAAGGCATTTATAGTAGATTGTAGTCCATTTTAATAATCTAAGCATGGTTTCAAATGTTGTACCTACAACACAAAAGATATGTCAGTACCTACAACATGAAAGATATGTCATGGTCGTAATTAAGAGCGATGTTTGTGAAATAGATTCAAATGAACATACATGTTATTGACTCCTGTATCGTGACAACTAATGCTTCTATTGAGCATTAGATCAACCTTATGTCTTAGTTTCTTCCCATCAGCTGAATGGATTAAGAGTAATAACAACTATGAGAATAATTGTGGATATTGTTACAAATTCCAGCCACCACACATTTAAAAAAACTTGAGATAATTTCTAAAACCAGATAAGGTTTAGCTGTATCGGCCCCAATTACAACGAGCTCTCCAGATTCTGGAGCTTTCTGTAAATGACCGAGTGTATAGATGAAATTTTAAGCAGTGAAAGCATATTGAAGACCTTTGGGTGAGCAGTGAAAGATCGATCCCATTCTCCATTGATATCCCAATTACCAAGTGTGTCAAGGTTAAATATGTCAATCTCTTGTGGGATGTGATTTTCCGCAACTGAATGAATCCTCCCAGTATGTTCAAAGACATTTGCATTACTGAGGTACTTGTTTATTTTGCCAACTCTAAGCTACAATAATACATTAGAACTAAGAACATTAAGATTGCTGAGGTACTTGTACTTATTTGAATGTTAAAGACTTTATTTTGTAGGTTTTTGAAGTTTATATTATACTTATTTGAATTAATTTCAGGGGATGAAGGATGCGAGATTGATATTTTGATGGGCTCACTAAAGTGAAAAATCAAGGACTTTGGCAGATTTCTCTCTCTCTTTGTTTAAGATTTTCTATATAAAAATGATTGTAATAGACTTTGTTGGTTAAGATTTTCTATATGAAATTGACTGTAATACAATTTGTGACTAGAAATGGATTATACTTTTTTTAGAAATATCATGACATTTACTTTAGAATTGTTTGGGTTATTTCATTCACCTTTTTCTAAATATTATGTGTGAGAAATGTTGTTCTCTAATTAATAGAATTGTGGTTGTACTTCTGCTTGTTATTATTTACAAATTTAATGTTGATGACCACTCAAGTTTTTGTGTTAGGAATTACCAATTTTTTTAAAATACATGTTTATTAACTTGTTACTTCCCACGATATGAATGATACTAATTTTTAATAATTACGCTTGAACTGCATCATTTTCTAGACTTTATTCGGCATCATCTTTCTTCACCTGAGGTTATGAATAACTGGCAAGTCCAAAATCATGTAAGATTATACGCAAATTAGAATCATCATAATTTTGACTCAATTTTCTTGAGTTAAGATTGTGCAAAACATATTCGGTAACTTAAATTTTTTTTTGAAAATATGATAGAATCACGATTTAACTTAATTATTTTTTGTAAATTGTTTAAAATCTAAATCCAATTCTAAAAAGTATAAATTAAAATTATGTTGTGATAATTTTCTTCCTCCTTTTCTCAGAAAATAACCAAACAAGAGAAAATGATTTTCTTATGAATTTTTTTCTAACTTTCATTACAATATTCTATCTAACCAAACAATAAAAAGAATATCATTTTCTTTTCTTTTTCTTTCCTTTCTTTTTTACTTTCTCTTTCCTTTCTTTTCTCTCCCTTTCCCTCAAACTAAATATAGCCTTCAAAAAGTTTATGGTCCTTAAAAGTTTAATGTTTCTCAACAAACGTCTAGGATGCCTCATTGGTAAAAAGCCTTTCAATTCCTTGGAAAAATATTTCTCTTTGGTTTGAAGAATACCTAATTAAAAACTCTTCAATCCCCTTAAGATCCCTCAAGAGTTGGGTCTTCTCTTACTTTTCAAGCATGCCTTATTACAAATCTTCTTCTCATTAAATCCCTCCAAACAGTTGGGAAAGAAACATGAAACGTAACCACTTATAATCCCCTACCTTGCCTCAATTTCTTCTGATCCTGACCGCAACGCAAAATTTCCCAACCAAATCACTAAAGCAACGAAAACTTGCTTGGATCCAAAAGCGTCGAAGTCTTTATTGATCTATCAAGAAAGTGTTCCTATTTCTGGGTAGACGTTGTAGAGGGATCAATGTTTTCAAGTTAGGTGTCGAAGAAGCTTAGTTTAGATATGAGAGGATAATGAGTTTTGAGCTGGTAAAGAAGGACAAGGATGGGGCCTGGTGATCGCTAAGCATAATAGAGATAGAGAGAAATATGAGAGGGTCATTCACCTATTTTATCTTAAAATATCATGTGTCTGACATGTTATAGGGTTTTAAGACTTTCTTTATCTCGAGAGTGAAATAATGGTGAAAAAATAGCAAGAGTTACTAATCACGTAAAGCTGTTAGATTCTTCACATATCCTTTGACCCGATTAGAGCTAATAAGAGAAATTAATTTTGGATCCTCATTATTAAACAAATTCCATCCTTCAACTCACATCCTGCTTCATCACCATTACCTTCTCTTCCTCCATCACAGCCACAAAATACTCCTCCATCCCATCACAAATACCTTCTCCTTGTTGCTCCTGCAGTTTTCAACTTCTCCACCATCTCCTCCTCCCACTCCATGACCAGTACTTCACCCTCAACATTCAGCACTCTCACCACTCCTCTCTTTTCCCTCCGTCTTCTACTCCGCCTACATCACCACCAAAACTACTCTCCCTTTTAATTTCAACCTTGCTCACCTCCTTCCACATCAAGAACACCTCTTCTTTGGTTCCATTTAAGACCATGAGCAAACATCTTCTCTTTCCTCTTCCACCTCACCACATTGTGCAACAGGACAATCAACATGTTCTCATTGCCAACACAGTGTTTTCAGAAAACTTTATTAGTTAAGACTTAAGAGAGAAGACTGATGTAGATAGGATGGTTAACAAAGGCAATTCTGTAATACATGAACATTTAGTAGGTTATGTGATCCGCATGACATAGCTTGGATTGAAAATGTAATATGTCCACCCCAAACAGACATTAATAAGGGGGTTGTTCAAAATATTTCGCAATACATTATTAACTATAAGGACCTTAGTATAAGGTATTATATTATTAAGAAAATCCATTTTAATTTGAGTGCAACTAGTTGCCCTTAGTTTGCAATCAGAACTATTCAGCATTAACCATTGTGACTATTTTGGACTGTATTTGGCTAGAAAGAAATCACCATTGTTTTCGATCTTAAGGATTACACATCCCCAGAGTCATTTGGCAATATCTAGCTCATCTGAAGACTTCCGGTAGGTGCAGCACGACATATCAAAGAGGTCAGCGGGCATAGCTCGTTCATGATGCACGCCTCATGACCCATTTCCATTTAGTTGTGAGAATTCGACTCTGAGTTATTAAAGTAGTGAAACCCTTCATGATATGATTGAAGCCATGGTAATGATTGCTCACAACTCCAGGCGAGTGAGCTTAATTATGATGTGTGTGAACTGGGATAATGGCAGTATTATAATTTTCATCGTTCCAGTTGATAATCCTTGTTTTCAAATTTTCACTGTTAAAATACCTATGCCTATTAATGCTAGTTGCTGTAACTTTATCCTTCTGAATGCACTACTTGTGAACCCTGATTAATTCAAAATCAATGAAAATTTGAAAATTTACAAATCTATAGAAAAATAAACAAAGAAACACCCTGATTAATTCAAGAAACTAATAACCCACACATTTACCTCAAAAGTTGGGATTTAGGCATGGGGTTTTCCCCAAACCCTGGAAGAGCCAATCCCCCATGAGATGGCCTGAAGCTCCGCATCAAAAAATGCCCAGCCTCCATCATGGGCATCGTCGCCTTCATTCCTTGTGCTATCACTGTCCCCAATTAGCGCCCTTCACATCATTTACTGCCACTGCAATTTCCCAAATTTTCAACAGTTTTGAGGGCTTCATTGCAATTTATTAAATAAAATAGTGAGTGTGATTGATATACATTTACAAATTTGGGATCCACCAACTCGAAAGTGCTTCAAGCTTAAGATTAGAGCTCCAATCCTCTCTCTCTCTCTCTCTCTCTCTCTCTCTCTCTCTCTTATTTTTTATTTTGATTTTATTTTATTTCTTGGGGTCGCTCGGGGGAACAAAGCTAAACGAAGGAGCCGGTCGAAAAAATTAAGTGGCGGAAATAAAACGGGCCGGTTCGGATCCTGACGCGCACCATACAAGACTCTCGTGACGTACTGGGCTTTCTCCGATAACCCTCTAAACTTTACTTATTCCCCGTCAACCCCAGCCCCGCGCGGAGCTTTGAACTTTCTTCACTGAACCCTGCTATGTGTAATTTGAAAATATATCAAATTTCTATGGTATTAAAAAACCTACAGTTTTGAGGAGGGGGTATATTTCTTTTAAATGTCAAATGAAAAACTTTTGAGATTTGTTTTCTCAAAAAAAAAAATAGTTATTCGCAAATTACATGTAGGGAATCTAGTGAGAAAATGTAAACGTTCAGGGGCATTTTGTAAGATACCTCGATAGGGTGTGAAAAAGTATATATATTCGAGGTTATCCGTATGATACAGATACGGTTACGGAATATCTATATCTGATAGGCTAAATTATAGATACAAACATGTAGTGAAATATATGAATTTGTATCTAAAACATCCGAATATATCTTGATCATATAGTTGTAATAGTTTTAATCCTTAGATTAATGAATTTTAAGTTAATTTTGATGATCAAGAGATCAAATCTTAGCTTTTTAGATGTAACAAACATATTGATGAACTCACTTGTATCGTATGAACTATATTTTTCACAATGTATTCTAGTTTTCTCATATCAATTTTTTATCCATATCCTGTTTCGAATTTTAGTGGATATGGATAGCAATTTCCTTTACCAAGGTATATTTGTATTCATATTTGTCTCCATGATTGTTAACAATATACAGATATTGTAAGAATTATATCCAAACTGTTTGCACAACTACACCCTAAACAGGGTGATATTATGTGAGATAAGCAAAGCTGGGGGGTTGGGTGTGGGGTAGAGGGGAGTGCATGTGAAAAACCCCTTGAAGTTGAGAGAGATTATGTGAAACTAACCCATGTTATTGAGATAAAAGGTCTACGAATATCTTGAAATTAAATATAAGTTAATTAATTAAGGCGTCTTTTAAACAGCCTAATAGGTCACACGACAAAGCCATGTCGCTCCCTCATGGGGGCCTAAGTTCGATTTCTGTGTGCCTCAAAAGGTGCTATAAAAAAATTAAGGTGTTCTTTGGTGAGGGTTTAAGGAAGGAGGTCTACCTCGGTTAACCCATGACGAGGGGTTAAAGTAATTTAATTCCAATTGGTTTAGATAGTTAATGTGGAGGATTAACTTTTTCATGTTTAGCAAAAAAAAGGGCTAAGGGGGTTAATCCCTCCAATATGTTTAAAAATACCAATTTTACCTTATTAAAAGTACGAAAATTTTTAAATAATTTATATATAATATAAGATAAATTCAACAAAAACCATTATTGTTGTGAAAAATAAAATCATCATATTATCATCAAATTAAATGCCAAATAGGGATAATTGATCTAATAAAACATACAAGACTTTAATTAACCAATAATCTCGATAGAAAATTTTCCATTAAAGGAAAAAGGATTTCTAAATAATACTGTATAAAATTGTTAAATTAGCTAAATATAGAAAAAAGAAAATTTTCAATGTAAACAAAATTACAAAAAATAAAGACAAATTTCTCTACACTTAAATCTTTCCCACCAAATGTGTTTTCCTCTAGCACAAATTTTCATTTTTGACCATATTTAAACTTTATTTACCTTTTTGACCTACTTTACTGATACGGGTGTATCTTCTCTTTGGGATCTTAGAGATCCTCATAGGAGCTTGAGGATAGATGATTCTCATAGTAGCTTGAGAATAGAAGCATCAGGTTGAAGCGTGAAGCAAAACGGCGGAGCGCGAAATCGAAGCGTGCAGTTTTCAGCTCATGAGTCGACTGAAGCTTGACATGAGTCGACTTAAGGTTGGCATGAGTCGACTTACGAAACCTGCTCTAGTTAACAAAAGTTTCTGTCGAGTCGACTTATGAAATCATAAGTCGACTCAAGGGGGTTCGTGCACGTTTGAGTCGACTCATGAGTCGACTCATGACGGGTTTGGGTTGAATTCCATATCCCTGCTAGGATTTGGTTTTTAGGGTTTGTATAAATTAAAACCATGTTGTTTAGAGGTACCTAATCAGAATTTCGTGAGATTTGAGATTAGAGAGGATTGTTCTCTATTCTAGAGAGATTGTGAGAGAGATTTGTAAAATAATTGATACTCATAATCTAGAGAAGATATTTTCCTTCGTCAAAACTGAATTGTCTGGTGTTTTCTATTGTCTTCTTCTCAACCCACCTTTGATAATTCTGTGATCAAAGGTGCTCGCACGGCGACTCGTATCAAGTTGGTATTAGAGAAATCAGATCCTATGAAGAGGGTATCTTGTGTATAGTCCTCACTCGATCGTAATACAAGAAGCTAGGCGAGATCCTTATTTTTTTGGAAGAGGTCCAGAAATTAAGGAAGAAGAAGATGACTGAAAGTGACAACTCATCGAAACTTGATGCATTGGAGAAGCAGATCGAGACGATATGGTCGACTCTCACACAACTCGTCGATCTTATCTATTGAGGGGACAAAAAGGGAGAATCTTCTAAAAATTGCTCTGATACCAAATGAAATTACCCTAGAGGAGTGGGTGAATAGGGTAATATGCTAATCTAATCCGATTTAATACCAATTAAAAAACTTATTAACAAATAGATCCTAGCAAGTATGATATTCAACAACTTATATGAGCAAGGATATATAATTAACATAAGGGTGAAATAAACATGAAACAAGATAAACAAATAGAGTAAATGACAATGCAAACACACGATATGATCACGGAGTTCGGTCCTTCCGACCTACGTCTCCGTTCCCTACTCCCGGGGAGAATCTACTATCACAACGGGTTTTCAACGTTCACTCAAAACGTTTACACCTCACAATCGGTTTTCTAGCTCATCGAAAACTTTCACAACTCACACTCTTACAATCACACTCTACACCCTCTAAGTGTTGGGCTAGCCCTTGTCGCCTTCCTCAAGTGCTCGGATTTACAACCTCTCCCTAGGCTTTATTACCGACGTCACTCTACTTGGAATCAACCCCGTCTCTTACCACACACTCCTCTCAGTGTACAAGTGTATTACAAAGTGTATCTCACAATAAAGCACAATAACAAATGTTTGTTAGCTAAACAAGATGAGAACTCAAATAAGCCCACACTCAATGTTACACTCCCCACAACCCAAATATACTCAATGTGATAATACTAAAAGCTCAAGGGGTGTGTGTGTAATCAATGAGTAAATCAAATATAAACTCTAGCTTAATAAAAGTGATAATCAAACAAATATAAATATAAAGCTAGAATTGAGTTTGGAAAATCTTCTCCAGAAATCAAGAGAGAGAGAGAGAGATGAGGTTGAAGCCCAAACACCAAAGAGATGATCTCCTCCTCTTGTGAAAACAACTTCACACAAAATACACTTGAAACAAAAATTAAACAAACTTTTAAACACCCTTAAATTTGTTTTTAAAACTCTCTTGGTGGGTGAAAATAGTTATGACAAAGGGGTATATATATGGTAGAAGAAACCAGCCCAAAAAATACACAAAACCCATAAAAATAATAAAATAAATAAAATCTGGAAAATAGCTGTTACTGTGCAACGACTAGTTTATAAGTCGACTTATGAAAGGGTATAAGTCGACTTATGTCTTATGAGTCGACTTGTATAAGTTATAAGTCGACTCAGCAGACGAAAACAGCAAACTGCACAACAGAACGTAAGTCGACTTGACAGGGACAATAAGTCGACCCATCATAAGTCGACTTGCGTGATTTTTTAAGTCGACTTAGCAAACGTTTTCAGTATTTTCTAGAACAGTTCATAAGTCGACTTGCCAGTGTATCTAAGTCGACTTATAAACATGCACCAACACTGTTCATGCTTGAAAATTGAGTTTTGAAGTGCCTTTAAAAATAGCGAATAAATTTTAAAAAATGTAAAACTTTAGGAAATGATTATAAACATAAAAATAAACATGTTACAAAAAAATTTCAATTTACACATCCCAATTGAGAAATCTCTTCATTTTGCAAAATAGTCCAAAAATATAAAAACTTAACAACACATGTTTTTGACTAACAAACTTACATATTCATTTTAAATGGATTAAAGGATTTAGGAAAAGATATAAAATGGTGTAATTTAATCTTTAATCCATAAACACATATTTTTATAAATAAACATGATTTTATTGATTTTAAACTTGTTGATTAATGAAATCATCTTTAGCACATATAAACATGAAAATATATTTATATACGTGTATTGAGTTTTTATGTTTATGCGGCTAAACACATTGTTTACCAAAACCAAAAATGAGAAATATGAAACATGTATGTATGTATATAAATAAGTAAATTTGTTTCATATTCAAACTTGAAAACTATAAAACCAAAATGTGTATGTGTATAAGATTGAGCTCTAAGTATTAACACACAAGTATAAACCCTAAACTATAAAAATTATACTCAAGCAATCTTGATCTTCAATTAAGTTCGTCTTGGTAAACATAGATGAAGCTTGAACTTGAATCTTTGACTTGAATTGTGAATTGCTTCATTCCGGTATTCCACCAACCTCCTTTAAATATGACCGTGAAGGCTCAATCCAACTAACCTCCAACGGCGTTGTTTGTCTAGAATACCTAATAGGCAAATACAAACACTAGACAAATAATATTAGAGATTATTTGTAAATCATCATCAAAATAAAGGTACTAACATATCATGTTTACCGGAAGACTTTGTTTTGGGATCCATAAGATACTTCTCAATCTACAACGCCATGTCTTTTGGCCGAAGATGGTAGAGGATGTTACCAAGTACGTTGGAGGGTGTAAGCTATGTTGCATTTCGAAGCCTTCTAATCGGAAGCGGGGATTGTACCTTTCATTACCAGTGCCTTCTAGACCATGAGAGAGCATCTCTATGGATTTCTTAGGAGGGTTGCCAACGACCAAGCGCGGACATGACTATTTGTACATTGTGATGGA